AAATAAATAAATAAATATATAACATTGACTCATTTTAGTGACAGTCTCTTTTTTTTTTTTAAACGAACATTAGAAGTATTACATTTCTTGTTAAATTAAATATCACATTTTTATGGAACAGCGAGACATTCGAAAGGAGAACCAGTCTCGAGGTGGAATAAAGAGGGAAAACAGAAAGAAAAAACTGGACACAACAGGACATCGTGTTCGGGCACGGGGTAAAGTGAAAGGATAAACAACAAACTCCTCCTCCTCATCATCATCATCATCAACATCATCCTCCTTCTTCTTCGTTTTTATAGTAGTCGGGCGTTTCTTCTCGGGCCCTTCTGCAATAAAACTCTTTGCCTTGCCATTCTGCCTGCCTGAGATGTTTTGGTTCCAAGCCAGGTTTCTGTGTCCTGTTCCCATCATCCCCATTCTGCATTGCCTTCTACTTTTGCTTCCAGGGGTATCTTTCTCGAGTGAAACAGGTCGTTTAATATCCAAAAGTAGTTCAGTTTCAGTTTCATTATGTGCCAGTATTATATCTATTTTTCTTAGTACTTTTTCTTTTCTTTTTTTTGTGTTCACGATATTTTAAGAGTTCTTCAGTAACATTTTATTTTGAAAGCTGTAATCCTTTTATGTATCTTGTTCACTGAGGATCCACGCATTACATCCTTAGGTCCAGAAAGACTAGCCATCAAAAGACATTGCACCAGCACTGCTTGACCTTTTTAGTGGAGCTACATTCACTACCCACGTAAAAGCTAGTTCCTCTGCTGCTTGGGTAGGGAGGAGCACGTCGACACAATAAAGGCCACTTAGTGCAGAAGGAAAGAAAAACAGACAAACAGAAAAAAAAACAGAGGGGAAGAAAGTTGGCAACGCATGTACCTAACAGTAGTAAAGGTGGCGCCCTCCACGATACGCCCCCCTCCCTTCTCCCCACATCCAACCCTAGGGCAGAAAGCGATGATACTCTCGAGATAACTATCGCACAAGCTCATCTACGTATAGACGTTTATGTGGCCTGTTCTTCAATCATGGAGATCGCACTTCCTCCTGGTAGCCACTGGGTCTACCCC